CCCTGGTACCATGACCTCTTCTAAATCCAGCCTGCACATCTGGCAGTTCTCTGTTGACATATTGTTCCAAACGTTCTTGGATAATTTTCAGCAGAATCTTGCTTGCATGTGGTATCAATGATATTGTTCGATAATTTCCACACTCTGTTGGGTCACCTTTCTTTGGAATGGGAACAAATATCAATCTCTTCCAGTCAGTTGGCCTGCTGGCTATCCTCCAGATTTCCTGGCACAACTTAGTGAGCACATCTAGGACAGCATCTGTTTGTTGAAATAAATCAGTTGGTATGCTGTCAACTCCTGGAACCTTGTTTTTTGCCAATTCCTCCAGAGCAACTTGAACTTCCACCTTCATCACCATAGGCTCTTGCTCCTGTTATTTCATGAAATTCCTCTGTATCAGCCAATTCCTTCTGATACGGTGACTCTGTCTTCCATCTTCTTTTGATACTTTCTGGATCATTTAACATTCTACCCAAACTATCTTTAAGTATTGTCACCCATGGCTTGAATTTGTTTTTCAGCTACTTCAGCTTAAGAAACGCTAAGCAAGTTTGGCCCTTTTGATTTTCTGACTCGAGCTCTCTGAGAAGCTTGATTCTAAAGAAGAATAGGACATTAGGATCAGAGAAGATGCAGCAACATGCAATGTAAAGATGGCACACTTCTCTAGCATAAAACAAAGAGGCTTTGCACAATGACTTTGGAAAACCATAGAACAAACAATGCCTTTGAATTACAGTGTTGTTGAAGAATACAGAATATAGCAGACCATTCTTAGAACAAACAAATCTGTCATAGAAAAAGAAATAGACTACCCAAAGAAAAGACAAATCTGTCTCACAAAATGTGCAGCCAGAATGCTCCTTAAATTTCCCTGTCCTGCTCCTATCAGAGGTAGGTGAAACTCTTGCCAGTGTGATATATGGAGAATTAGGTTGTCACAATCTCCAGAAAAAAAATTTCTCAAAGACAGTTGGCATCTGTTCTTTACCCATCTCATTTCTGCTGCTTGGAACTCTTGAAATTCTTGAAGATTATCTGAACTCTGGGGAGAAAGAGGATCATCAACTAGGGATGGTGAACCAGGAGCTGGAAAGGACTTAGATCAACTATGACTGCTCTGGACTTCTTACTACTAGAGCTTTGATTTGTAAGAGAAATAGATATTCTTCTTTGTTTTAACCACTTTTATGGTGGCCTGGTCAAAAGGGAGTTGTTCTGCCAACTTCAAGGCAGGAAGTTAGAATCTGTTCCCAAAAGCAGTTCCTCCAATGCAGTTTACGGTCTCTGAAAATCTGCTGGCAGGTCAGCTATCAGTTGGTTTTGACTTGACAGCAAAGAGTTATTGTGATTATGGCAAAATCTAGTCTTAACAATAATCAAAGAATTTCTAGGTAAGAAATGTTTAAGATTAATTGCCCCAGCAGTCTGCCAGTAATTTCACTAGATCAGCACAAACCAAAGACTTCTTTAGACGGAATTGCTTTAACAAGCAATAAACCATGTAATGCAGCTCTAATTTAAAGCCATGTCATTTGACTCTTTCTCATTACAGCTTACTCACTTATTGGTTGAGTAATACACAACATACAATATACATGTGAAAAATAGTAGCTGAAATGTTATAAAGTAGTAAACAGAATATATTACAACAAAAGTGGAAATATATTAAAAAAGTAGAATTAACAAATATTTTTCCCCTAGCTTCCATTTTTACCGTAATAGAAGTTCTACAAATCTTAACAAAATTATGTCTATTTATGGAAGCTTCTGTACATTCCACTTTACTCTGGAAATTGTCCTAAGTGTTTTGAGAGATTATGTCTGAAAAGAACTGAAATATCCTCAAAGATAATTTCTTACTTCTTGTTACCAAAATTCCTTGCTCTTACTATTCTCAAAGCTTAAGGTTCAATTTTTCCTGGTATTCTAGGAGGTAAATTACTATAAAATATATTCTTTTATGCCCAAGTGCCCGAAGCAGTATTGAGTTTAACACAAAGTTGAAAGAGAACTAATTTATCTGTTAATATAAATTGGGTAGAGCTTAATCATTTTAATCTCTCTTGGGTTCTGTCAAGAGTTTAATGCTTCTTACAACACTATACTAAGGATTTCAAAAGGTCATGATTTAATTTAGGGTTGCATAATTTCGTATGACCTTGTAAGCACAAATACAAAAGTACTTAAAACTTTATCACTTAAACTTTGTATCTAAAATAACCTTAAAGAGATTCACTCAGTTCATTCCAC